CACTTTTAGGTTGTTATGCATTTTTAAAATATAATGTTTTGTGCCTGGAAAAATATGATCCTATCAACAACTTAAAAATAATTTAAAATATTCCACTAAAATAGAATCTGCACTTTACTTCCCTAAATCTGGTTGGAATTCTAGAAGTCATGTTTTTAGGAGTCACTTACTGAAATGTGTGTTGTGCTTGGCAGGCTGAGTACCATTGATCAGAATGCATTTAGATTTGACTGCTTTCCCAATTATGAATTGTAATTACACAGGATGTAAGCATGAGTTTAAGTGGTTGTAAAGCTGCTCCAATACTTGTCACACTATTAATTTAATAAACAGAATATTTAGCTAGGGTCTTCATAATTGCACATCAACTGACTGAAATATTCCTGCAATTGTTGTCATGCTGTATTTGGAGTCCCTTTCCCCCCACTATTTTTCCGAAGGGACAGAAAAAGAGAAGGAGAGTGATGACACTAATCTCTTTGCCTCTAGGTGTTTATCACACCATGAAAGCCAAAACAATTACTCAGGGCTTCATGGGAGAGTCAAGACTGGTAAATAGCAAACCGCTATTTCCTTGGAGGATGTTTTCTTGCAGTGTTTCACATCGCAGAGGGAAAAACCATTCCCCATCAGGAGCAGCCCTCCCTCTGAGCACAAATACAAAGGAACAAAAATGACATTATGTTCCTGCCTGCCTGGGGCAAAGAGAATCACCTATTCTTAACAGGACTTCAGGTGTGTGATTGTTCTGCCATTTTCTTTCTTTTATTAGATTAGAACGTCTGTCCCTTGTAAGATCCAGGCTGCAATGTGGAACTATCAGGGCAGCTGGAGAATACAAGTGTGGTACATTATACATCTTTAAGTAACTTGACACATTCTTGCCATGCAAGAATTTTGCAATCTAGTCAGAAAATGTAGGAAAAGTAGTAATTATTTTTTCCGTTTAAAATTCATAGTTCACTAATTAAATAATAGTTAAAAGAGACACGTCTAAAAAAATGGAACCAAGTTAAGAAAATAAAGGTTATTTTAACTTCCATCCCTCTGCAGTTTGTTATTTAGTTATTTCATCTAGCCTAGCTAAATCTTTAGTGTGAACATAATTAGGTTTTACAGAATAATGTCCCATTCTCCTAGCTATTATTTCAGGTTAATAAAAACATCATCTAACTTTAAATGTTACTACTGCATTTTATTCTGTGCATCAATTAAAAATATCTTTAGGGTGATGGGAGAAAGCAGAAGGGGAATTCAGACTTTATTAAATGCGTAGCTGTTTAAAAACAATACCTCTTAAAATTATTTAAGTCGTGTTGCTGAACTTATTTCAGAACCCACTCTTAAAATGTACTAGATTGTAAATGTGGTTTATTCAATATTAACACATTTTTCACAGATATTATTTTCTCAATTCTATTTCAATGTAATAATATAGTTTATACAAGGAACAATGTCTGTTTCTTAGTTATTTGATTCTTCAGATGCACGATAAGGATGGTAGCATATGAGTCATACCTTATCAGAGTACTGAGAAAAGCAAAAGTGCTCTGTGTTCTAGAGAGTATTGGTACAAATTCAAAATATGTTAGTTGGTATACTTAATTTTTCTTACATCATACTGTATTTTTGTGCATTTTATATGGGGAGTTTATTGGCATTTGTTTTAGGAAACTAAAGGACAAAGCTACATTTAGTGTAGGAAAGTAAAAATACAGTTAATTAAATGTACAAACTCATTCTGTAGGGAAATGGTTAGAATGATCAGAAGGTTTGCATCAGATGAGCATTTGATATTTGTTTGAAATAAAATTTATTAGACTCTAGTGCTTATTTCCTGAGATAAAGAGTTGTTCACAGCCAGACATTTGGATCAAAATTCTGGGGTATCTCTTACCTCTGTTTTTCATGTCTTTGTATTATAAGGCCATTCAGTTGGGTTTCTTTAAAAAAAAATCCTACCATTTCACTTGGTTCCAATTTGTGGCTTAGTTCCTACCACATCTTTATTAGTAAAAGCTAGGAGTAGAAGTAGTAGGAAAGAATTCAAGTTCAGAATTCTGAAACTGAATCTTTGTCATTCCATACCATAAATACAGTTTTCTGTGCCTAAGAAATACATGGAACGTGTAGTTTAAAGTTCCCAAATATCCTGTTCAATCCTGTAAGCAGAAAAATTGTTAAATATGTGTTTCATGTACTAATTAACAACAGGTGAATTGGATGAAACTGTTTCCCATATTGCACAGAGCATACTGTCTCAGAATACTAAGCTTATATCTAATATTAATGGATTACTGACGGTGGAAGGTAAAAGAGATAGAACAAAGATTTGATTTTAGGATTTTCTTACAGCTACCTCAATTCATTCAAAGATCCATAACTCCAGTAAGGCCACAGACCCAAGGAAGAAGCAGCACACTAATGTTAAGGTTTATATCTAGATGTTGCCCAAAGCATCACGCACTCATAGGTTTGACTTTCGGAGGCAATGGGATTACAGAAGTCTATAGATGACTCACTGTTAGAAGTTTGATTGGAAAAGGTGAGCCCCGTGAGTGTGGCCTGGAAGGGTTTAGCCTCCTCTCCTGCTTGCCCTTTACTCTCTCTGTTTCTTCTCTATCATGCCAACAGCTGACTCTCCTCTGCCATATTCTCCTGCTATGCCATACTGCCTTGGAGTCAGCCAACAGTGGACTGAAACCTCTAGAAAATGTGAGTCAAGGTAAACTTCTCCTCTTTTAAATCATGGTTTCTGGTAATTTTTCCCAGCAAAGAGGAAAGTGACTAAGACGACTAACAGTAGGAATGCTTGAACTGTGGAATCTGTGCCTCCTTCCAATATGTCCCTTCCTTTATATCACCTGGATAAGTGACTGATACCGGGCTGGGGACTTGACTTCAGGATACCTGAGGGAGTTTCAACTTCAACTATTTGGAGGGTCCAGGACCAAAGTATCAATGGAGATTCAAGTGCCATTTGTGGAAATACTTAAAATTTACGTATTAGTCCTTTGAACAAAGTGTTAATATGTTCCATCTTGCTACTTGGGCATATGTGCTTTCTCGGATTGGAAACCCATATATATATATATATATATATATCTGAATATATATATATATATATATATATATATTCAGAATTTTTGCACTGCTCTGAGTTTTACACTGGACCCTGACCCTAGGGGGAATTTATTTACCTTCCTCCCACACTCTCCTATGTTTTTTCCACCCTTGAAATCTGTGTTTTATTGTAAAAGGCGTCTCCTTGGTCACATGTGAATTCAACAACAAACCATCTTGCCCCTAATTACTAATTCATTCTTTGATAACCCATGTGTCCAGGAAGGTGCAGACTTGATGCTGTCTGCCACGAGGAGGAGTACAGACCCATGAAGAAGCACAAGTATGCCCTCAAACAGGGTGGAAGACATTTAGGTATCTTGGGGACTGGAACACAGCTGGAAGAAGGTGACGATCCCTCTCACCAAGGATCCTTCTTTGCTGGGACTAATGTCTCCCTCACGATGTATACAGTATCAGAAATGAATCACTCTTATACCACAAGTCAGGTTCATTTCCTGTAATAGCAACAATTTCCACATAGGTGAAACTTTTTGTTGTGGTTTTTGAAATTTTATAATCATCAATAATGTTGATAGAATCAATCATATTCTCACTCTGAGGGAAAGTTAACGGATTAACTCATGTTTACGTTTACACTGTCCCACATAAGGGCAATATCCATATAGAATATGAACCAGGGCCTCAAATGTAAGTGCAACTTAAGAACCCCCTTCCCCCCCATCCTATTGTTAGGATGCACTATTTCAGATGAAAACAGATTTGCAGTAATGCTGGGAAGCAGCAGACAAAATCCACAGAGTTGAGACTGCTTCAAAGGAATAGGCCTTTTCAAAGAACTTGAGAATCCAGATTAAAAAGAACATTTCATTTCCATCGTATACCTAAAAGTGAATTTTTATTAAAAGCAGATCACATCACTTCAGGAAATTCAGAAAACTATATCTAAATACACTGAATGCAAGATATTTCTCATCAATTTAGATTATTATAGCCTCGTAAAGATAAAATGCAGATGAATAGATCAGGTCTTCATTAAATTTTAGAATTAGCTTTTGGAATCCCACATATTGAATTGTGCAGTGTCTGATTCCTGAGCTTGTAACAAAACCACGAGTGGATAATGATAAAGTGCATCGTTGCCAGAAATAACACACAATCTGCCTTTGGTTTGTGCTAATAAACTATAAGACAACTTAAAGTTCAATTTTAATATTAGAAATCTACCTCATCATAAGTAATCTGAAACTCTAAGCTATCAGAATTTTCATGTGCATTCTTTGGTGAGCTTGAAATATAATTTTATGTTTATCCTTCTAATATAAATCTCCAATTTATGATTGGTCACACTGGAACTAAGCCAAAGCTCTAATTTATTTCCATCTTTTCTTATTTCTTATTTCAAAAGAGACTGTTGGTTTGAATAACAAACATTCAATCGACTTAGACATGGGGTGGCAGGCGGTACAGGCATTACCTGTTTACCTTTTATTGCCTTCTTTGAATTGGCTTTTCTGGGAACAAAACCAATAGGACATGCTGTTCCTTCATCTAGTTTGGACTCAGGTTATTTATCAGAAGGCACCCCGCTCCCGTTCCAGCAGGCAGAGGCAGCAGGGTGAAGAATTCAGACTGGAACGAGGCTTCTGACCTAACGCTATCATAGGTTATTGCTCCCAAGTCATGTAGGACTTCATTGTCCGTAAGACTCTGGCTTGGACTGATAATTGTTTTTGATTCCAGGAGACTTTGCTGCTGCTAACACATTTGTAACATGTAGGACAAAGTTGTGCTGGGAATGGAATATATACTGTTTCAGTCTCTTTGAAACTTTGCCATTTCTCCCACCCTCCTCCCCTTGCTGTCTTGTTCGGTAATTGGCCTAGTAAAAGGCAGAAACAAGAATTTATTACACCTTGGGCAGTACTTAAAACAAACTTTATTCTCAGGAACAGCAGTTATGTCTACCTGCTGCTGTATACTTTGATATTTCACTTAAATACTTAGGCGGAATATATTCAAAGTCAAATTGCTAATCATTCAATTTCCCTGTTACTGTCCTGGTTCCCCAGGTGGCCTCTTATGATCCTCCATGTAAACACTGTATTTGAAAAGATACATAGATTAGCATCCCTAGAGCCACATGATCACCATCATTCTGTGAAAATAGCATGACTCAAAAATAAGTCTCTTAGTACTTTGCCAACAGGCTTTGGCATAATCTTGGCAATCACTTATATTTCTTTCTTTCTTTCTTTCTTTCTTTCTTTCTTTCTTTCTTTCTTTCTTTCTTTCTTTCTTTCTTTCTTTCTTTCTTTCTTTCTTTCTTTCTTTCTTTCTTTCTTTCTTTTTTTTCTTTCTTTCTTTTTTCTTTTTTCTGTTACATATTTTTCCAAAGTGGAAATAGTCTCATATTTTGTAGAAATTGTCCAAGCTAGCGGTCATGAATCCATCTTCCTGGGAACTAAATTCATCAGTTGAACATGTTCAGTCCACACAGAAATCAGTAAAGTGAGTGTGAAACTGCTTGGTGGCTGCTTCTTTCATCTTAAGAAATTGCAATACAAATTCCTGAAATTGTTTATGCAGGAATTTTTATTCTTTAAATCTTCCAGTGTTAAAGCAACAAGAAAACATTTAGAATGTCCTTTGGTGGAATCTTATTACACTTGTTATATATGTAAACTGATATTTCTTTGATGCCAGCATGGTCGTTGCCCTTACAGAGAAATCTCTGCACAATAAACAAAACAGAACAAAAGAGGACAAAATTAAATATCAGTCTTTGCTGATTTGAATTAGATACGTTAACAGATTGTCTGGTAACACAAATTGGCAATAATACAAAAAATCTACGTATTACAGTATTTCAAGAAAAATAACTTCATTTGAATACAAAAGGATAGATACACTTTCTTTTCTCCTATACCACTCTTGTACAGTGGGCGTGAGCACACACTGGTGACTCAGTGCTGCTAAGATATACAGGGGTATTATGACTGGCTTGCGCTTTGGGGAGGGGCTTTTACACATGTGCATCACTAACATCAGACAAAGAAATCTTTCAACCAACAGGGGTTACAGAGCAACGTTCACTAAAGCACAGGTCAGAAGGGATTCAGGGACTGAAGCAGGCCAATATGGCAGCTTTTAAACAGGTTTCCTTATACCCACAATGCACCTGACAGCAAAGAATGCTTCTTGTTGGTTGGTCCAGACACTGGGCAGAGCTGTGCTAGGGTGCATCACATTAGAGTAGCAAATGTTTTTAGGTTGGTTGATTGTTTGTTTCCATCTTTCCTGTTGGGGGGGCTGTCACAGCCTTTCCAATTCAGGAAAAGCTCCTCAGCTGGCAATGTGGTTTGCAATGATAATATCAACAGCTGCCAACTCCTCTGTAGACAGAAATTAACAGTCTTGACTCCGATGTGTTGTCCACGTCTGATAAATATGGCTTAGTTCAGTTAGGCCTTTTGAGTTTGTACACTGTGTTGGAGTGGGTGTGGGTGTGTTTTCTATGTTAGATGTAAATGCTCCCGTTGTGTTTGCTTCCCCAGGGCACAGGCCTGTCAGATGGCTGGATGCGACTCCTAAAAGGCCAAGGGGCTGGCTGTCCCCAGCAGCGCAGTCAGCAGCAGCAGGGCCGGGGAGCACTGCGGGGGCGCCGCCTGGCCCGAGTCGGAGCCACAGCTGCCCGCCTCCTCGCACCGCAGCTTCTCACAGAAGATGCCAGTGTAAGCGGCAGGGCACAGGCAGCGCAAATTGTTGTGGCACGTCCCTCCGTTCTGGCAATGCAGGAGCTCGTTGTCGCAGACATTCGCTGCAGAATGGGGTTGGGGGAGGGGGTTGCGGGAAGAAGAAGCAGAATCAATTTAAGTTCATCTGGTACATCATGTTTTCAGCTTTAAAAAACATCTCTATCGATCTTGTGATCTTGGGCGCACCCTCCCCACCGCAAACTATGCATGTGACTCCAATTTCCAAACAAATGCCATCTTTGTTTTGATCATATTAGTCCTTTTTCATATAGATTTTCGTTGCAGTCTTGGAGATTACCATTGCCCATATCTAATACAAATGTAATGTTATACTCCTCCGTAGGCAGTTTCTCTTCATGGACCTGGGCCCTGTTGTGATCTTTTGGGCTTTTAAAGGACAAGTGCCTGATACAAGAATGCAGAGCTCTAAAGCCAGATGAGTGGTATTTAAAATGCAAAGCAGTTTTGCTAAAATGACCCAGAATCTCCAAGGGCAGGCCATTCTCCCTGCGTGTTTCCCCAGCAGCTGTGTACATGCAGACAGAGCCCAAAGGAAAGCAGGGGTATGAGGAGTTGGAGATGGGGGGAAAGTAGCATGCTCCAGGCATGCAGCAGCCAGATGGGAAGAGGGAAGACCTGTTTCACAGGAGGAGTGTGAGGAAGATCAGTCACATTTGTCCTGACAGCCTATTAGGGTTTTGATTGTCTTGTAAATACAGGAAGCAGAGCCCAAGGTTACCTTGATTTCTGAAAATGTGGATAAATGCAGTGGTGAAACCCTGATTACCAAAATTTCACCAGTTAATAGGGTCAGTTTGAATAAATTAAGGCAAACTACTGGAGACAGATTCACTCACAGCTTTTGTCATGTAACTTTCACATCCGATAATTTCTGCATCTTCACAGTTCTGGTTAATCTCATTAATTCCATGTCTGTTATTTTTTTAGGTAATCAAGGTTTCACTGATTTAGCAGAATGTTAAATAGAACCCAGGGAAATTAACACAACAACAAAGAGTGGAAGAGCCAAGAACACTTCTCCACAACAAATGCTGGTTAAGCACTTCACTGACAGATATCTCTAGAGTGGGGGCTGAAGGTGGGGGACAGAGCAGAAAAAGTAGCTTTTTAAAAAATTGTAACTTTTTATTTAAAAATGATATTGTCAAATATCCTAGGTTTGTCACATAAACACTTAAACAGACACATTCATACATACATTTAATGATACTCTTAAGGGAATACTGATTTTAAACAACTGCTGTCCTTCAGTACTAACTCTATAGTGAATGTTGCTTTTTGTTAAAATTAACAGCATTCAATAATTATGTCACCTTCAAGAGAAACTTCTTACATATAAACACGTTAATAATCTATGTGCACCTGAACTGAGCAAAGATGGTGGGAGAGATTCACAGAACTAATAACGAAACACCCTAAAGAGATGTGTGTTGGATTACCTTCTTCAACATTCCTTTTGTGACCTCCAAAGCAGTCACAGGTAGTGTTTAGGCATAATTTGCAAATGTATCCACATTTGCTATCTATAAATTCAGCATTGACTGTTAAGGGCACTAAATCCTTGAGGCTCAAAATACTGACATACAAGAAATTGTTCAATGGGTTCTAATTATGATATGTTACTTCTTATAGGATGGCTTAAAAATCATAAACGTTAGACTCAAATTATAGTATTTTATGACTTATGATTTAAAATGTCAAGCTTTGGCGTTACAAAGAAAAGCTTCAAATATAGTTTGGTTGGCTTTTAACGGACAAAGCTAATGAAAATGTTGGTTTTTCTGTTGTTAATTTGGGAAGCATACTTAGATTTTCAGGATTCTGTTTTGCTTACATGTCAAGAAATATCTGTTTAATTGGGGAAATATGGAATAAACAGATCCAAATAACTGTTTCCATCAAAGCTTAAAGGGTCTCAGCATTTCTTGTTCTGGCAGCAGATTGCTGAATGGGATATTTCCTTTCATTTAGGCACTGGAGGTAGGAAATATCTGTTCCATCAATATTGATAATTGCTTGCCTTGAATAATTGAGAAGAAATCAATAGTTAATTAAATATCACTCCCCCCTTTTAAAAAAAGCTATTTTTCTTCTACTTGGACCTGAATGTAAATCAGTTGTTGAACAAAAGTTTTTTTTTTTAAGAAGTTGGTGATTAAGTTATAATTCAATATCTTTCCTACATTTAAATAATCTACTAGTTGATTTTGATGGTCATGAGGAATTTAATGAATACACAAGGAACAGATATAGCCCAGGATTAATCATTTTATGGATTGGGGGAATATATTTCCTATAAGATATAAATAGAAAATAGAGACCTAGAATATATTAAATTACTTTAGAATTTACTATAAAACACATTGTATTAGATCTCTTGTGTTATTCCCACTAAAATTGAACAAATGCCAAATTATATAATGTGCACTATTTTTTGAAATTGTATACCAGAAGTACATTTAATCTTCCCTATGTTCCTATCTTGTTTTTATAACCTCATGCTCCAAGTTCATACCATTTTGTACCAAAATTGTGTTGGCTAATGAACAAACTAGGTGGTTAAAAATCATTGAGTTCTTCTTCAGCATATAAAATCTTGTACTAAACACAAATGCTAAAAAACATAAAGCACGACCTCTGCTCTTGTGGAGTTCAAATTAGTTTGGAGAATAAAATATAGAAATAGCCTAATATTAATTTAATTATTGGTTCCATCCAGCTCAACCAACATATGGTTTGTGTCAGGTTTGCTGGTAGAATTTATCACTGCAACTCTAAGTGCCCTAATGGAACTCACAGATTGGTGGAAAATAAATACATATATACAGAAATATTATGGCACAATATGAAAAGCCAACATGGGAAACTCAAATGAGTTTTATGGAGTATTGAGGCAGAGTAAGAAAAATTTTGGAAAAGACATGGTGTTTGAATAAAGGTTGAATCAGGCAGAATTGGTAGAAAGAACGTTATGGATGAGGAAACTCTGTGAAAAGGCAAGGCGATGTTTTAAATACAATGTTGACTGTTGAACAGTTTCTCAAACTCTACATCTGTCCTTCTGGTGTGGAAGCCAGAACACTGAGAGAAGTCATCTGCCAGTCCTACTAACAGAGGGCACTAGAGGGAGCAAAGAAAGAAGGATGAATGAAGAAATTTCGTTTCTGATTGATGGCTTTTCCTCACGGTATCACCTCAGCCACAGACTTTATCTCTGAAGCAGAGTTTGGTTCCCGTATTCAACTTTATTCAGAACAAGCTTCATTTCACCCATGAATGTCCCTTCACCAATCTGGCAAGATCCCTTTCGTAGAGGCTGGAGTCCCTCCTGCTATCACAGAGGTATCAGGCAGCAGCTAGGCCTTATCCCTCCTCACAGTTACAGATCTGAGACCTCTGAGGTTTCGGTCCACACTCTCAGTGCCTGAAAACCATATCCTCTTCCCTGTGATTCCTCAGCCCCACAGTAATAGCTGCTACCTGGGTGATACTGTCTCAGTTTTTCCTGTGTCCTCATTTCTAAATTCTCAAACATTTGTTTACCCATCTCATGACACAAGTTTCTCTGTTGAAGAAACTGGTAAGGTTTCACTTTTTAACAGAGAGCCTACCTCAGAGACACATGGAGCGTATTAGTGAATGAAGAATGGGTTATGGAGACCAGAACGGTAGGTGGTACCTGGCTGTGAATATGCCTGGGCAATGCGAAGTTGTCAAATATGCATGTGCACCACAGGGTTTTAAAGGGCAAAGAAAGGTGAGGCTAGACCAGACAAGAGTCAGAGTCAAAGCAAGGAATCTAGGTACTTTAATGAGTACAGCAACGGGAAGGAACAGATTTAGAGATGGCTTTTGTGAAGGGCTTGGGAGAGGGCATTTCTAAGATTCCTATTTTGGAATGTGGATGCATAATAAATGTATTAAATAAAGGTGACAGTAGAAAGAGTTTGGTCAGGGAAGACAATAACATTTTTTTGGAACAGTTGACTTTGAGGAGTATGTGGGTTCCATAGGTGCTTTGCTATTAGGAAAACCACTTAATGTTTCAGATGACAGTTCATCCTGGAGACACAGATTTGGGTGGTCATTATGAAACTGAAACAAAGAGGAAAGTGGCGTTCTGGGAGAATATAGACTAAGAGCAGATAAAGACTGAAGCTAGAACTCTAGAAAACACTTAACAGCATTTAAATCATAGAGAAAGAAAGACTATGAGGATGGTGGTAAAAAAAAATGCCAACAAACTACAGTGATGATACAAGGGTATGCAGTGAAGCACAGAGGACTCCTGCTGTGGAAGACTCTCTAGGAATTATAGAACAGAAAAGAGAGAGAAAGGGCACTTTGAGTTCGGGCAAAGTCAATATGCAAAATAAGTGTTGCATATTCTTGATTGAATCTGACAGAAAGAATTTTGGAATAAGTAGAGAAAGGACTGAAAAAAATTTGAAGAACGAACATTTAACAAGGCTCTTTGAATGTCAGTTTTAAAAAGTGGTTCTCAGTATTGGATGATTTCGCCTGTCGAGACGGTAGATGATATCTGGATGTGGATTTGGTTGTCACCACTGTGTAGAGAGGGCCTGCTGCTGACTCCTAATGGGTTGAGAGCAAGGATGCTGCTAAACATTCTGCAATGCATGGGGAAGACAGTATCTGACAACAAGAATTGCCCCTTAATTGGTTTTAGAGATAAAATGATGACGTTTTGGATCAGGGTACAGCTATAGCAATGAAGATGAACAGCTGTCACTGATGCATTTTGGGAAAAGAGAATAAAGAAGTCTTGACAGATCTATATCGGAGAGACAGAGTATTTTCAAATGCAGAGTTATGGGAATTAGAGGGGTCCTAAAGACTAAGAGTGGAAAATGAGAGTGTGTTTTCTTCTTGGACTAAATACAGAAGATTGGGACCTAAGACAGGACCTTTAGCACAGCTCACAGTTGGGAGAAAAGAGGAGTTGAAAGAGTCTTTATCATATAATGTGTTTTTTCTCTCATTTAAATAGTAATACCAGAGCTTTCATCAAACTAGATGG